AGATGCAAATTTGCTGGCTTTGTTCTCCTCTGTTGAATCGCCAAGGTATTTACACCTGCTGGCGGGATAAGAGTTAGGGTGCAGTTGGGTAGGTGAATAATATCGCTGAGCCCAAAATATTCTCTGCAGATTTTTTTTTTAATTGTTTTTCCTAGGCAGGACAGAAAAAAGAGAAAGTGTGTTTTTTCCTCCAGTTTCTGCAGGAGAAATTCCTTACAATAAATTTTGCTGAAGTCTGACAATAGTAAAATCTGAGAATCTCTCTTGAGCGCTCTTTATTAAATCTTAAGAAAGGGATACAGATTAAAAAGAGGAAGCTAGACAGAGGGAGGGATTGGTGAGGAAAGGTGGCTACAGGTCGAAAAAGTCAAGATGGCAGTCACACCAGTACAATTAAAAAGTCCACCCCTCCTTTTTTTATGTGTGATGCTTAAAAAAAGGGTGGAATTTAAAAAAAACAAACAAACCCTAGGCTTCATTTTCTTGTCTTCCTCTAAGTTAATTATTTAATTGCATTTTAAAGCGCAAATAATACATTATAGAATATAGATAATAACAGAATGAAGTAGTATTTATACAAGAGAAACTGGAAACTGTTAACATTGTGATGATTAAGATCAATTAAACCTTTAAAGATGAGAAAGAAAATTACTTCAATGTGGTTTCTGAGATATTAACAAACGTCGGCTTGCTTAAGTTATGCAGTTAACGCAAAATAAGAACTTGATAAAGAGCCGTAAAGGGGATGACAGTGTTTTATAATATGAAAAAAAATAGATTTAAAGCAAAAAAAAAATGGATGGAAGATGGGTCACACCCTTTGTGGGTATCATCTTGATTTGTGAGATATGTAAGCATGGGAGAGGAAAGCAACATTCGCCACCAATAAAATAAGTTTAAAAACACCAGCGGTGAGATTTGAAACAAAATTTAAAGTACTTGAAACCGAGATACAGAAAAAAACAGAAAACTCTTTTTATTGGCAAAAGAAACATTCAGGAAAGGGCTTAGGACCAGGTAGCACAGGGGTCCTCAACCTTGCTAACTTTAAGACTTGTGGACTTCAACTCCCAGTATTCCTCAGCCAGCTTTGCTCTGGGAGTTGAAATCCACAAGTCTTAAAGTTGCCAAGATTGAGGACCCCTGCCTTAGCAAATGAGACTGAAAGAGAAACGGGGTTGTTTGCTTCTTAATCGAAAGGTGGGAAATGGTAAGATTTTGCTCTTTTAGAAGCTAAAAACGGCAAATAGTTTATAAAAAATGCAAGCTGAGAATGTGAGAAAGCTGGCTTATGATTTAGACAGAAATTTAAAATTAAAAGCAACTCCCAACAGGACCCCGCGGTAGGATTTGTTTTGCAAAACGTTTCCCCTCTTCCCCTTAACTGTAAATTATGAGATGTCCCACCACGTTTATCTTCGCCTTTCTACTAAATCAGATCAGCTTGAGGAACACATTCAGGTTGGGTGGAATTTTCATTTAGACCAGGGGTGTCCGACCTTGACGACTTTAAGACCAGTGGACAACTTTTAAGAGCCGTGGACTTCAACTCCCAGAATTCTCCAGCCAGCCATGAAGTTCACAAGCTGCCAAAGTTGGACACCCCCTGGGAGTTGACGTCCGTAAGTCTTAAACCCGAAGATGCTTTTCAAAAGGCAACTGGACTCCCTTAGTTTTTTCCTTGAAAACGTTTCACTTCTCATCCGAGAAGCTTCTTCAGTTCTTCTGAAAGAATTCCAGTCTTTTGAAAAGCAACTTAGGGACAATCATGACCTGGATTATTGAGAATCTCCATAGACCTCAGTCTTAAAGTTGCCAAGGTTGGACATCCCTGGGAGTTGAAGTCCACGAGTCTTAAAAGTTTCCATGGTTGGATACCGCAACCTCGACTTAGAAGGAGGAGAATCTCCTGATGGAAGCATGTTGAAATTGAAGAAAGATTTCTCATTCCTCCTGGGTGTAACATACTTGGAGACTCGTGTAGCTGTAACTGGCTGCTGAGCTGGTCTCTTTTTGCCCTTTTTTTGTGCAGAAGTTATGCAAGGCAGGATATGAATTAGACTGGAGGAAGTGACAAGGTCTACAGTCATAACTTTGAGAAGGCATCTATCATTAACTGTTCTGAAAGCTGTTCTCCACTCTGAAAGCTGCCATGTTCCATATGACTTACATCGCCAAATAAAGGCCAAAGGCTGATTGTTTTTGGCAGCTGCTACTGCAGAGGTCCCACGTCTAAGGTTTCTCCTCCAGTGCTTGCAACCCAAATCCAAATTATACCTTATGAGGACTGCTTATAAGTGACTTCTTTCTGCCCAGACATCACCTTTTTCCCCTTGGCTGTGGATTCAGAAAGCTCCCGGCACACTTTGGCAAGTTAAAGCAAGGCTCTTGGTGACTGGCAGAATGCAAAGCTTATAAGCAAACTGATTTCATTTGGGGCATCACATTTTCCAAGCTACCTAAAAACTGAAGGAAGGTAGGATAAATGAACTTGGGAGGTTTGTAAAGCAAGGTTAATTATGTCTTGCACTACTGTAAGGGAGTCCTTTATGTTTCCCATAATTGGTGTACATCAAACTTTTTTTTTTAACAGCTGAGTTTATCTGAAGCTAAATATCATAAGGAAAGTCCTTTAAATGTTTTAAAGTGCTACATAAATTATACGAATAGAGGAGTCTTCACAATTATCTCTTTAGTGCCTTCTTCTTCTTCTTCTTCTTCTTCTTCTTCTTCTTCTTCTTCTTCTTCTTCTTCTTCTTCTTCTTCTTCTCCTCCTCCTCCTCCTCCTCCTCCTCCTCCTCCTCCTCCTCCTCCTCCTCCTCCTCCTCCTCCTCCTCCGGAATCACTTAGATCATTTCCAAAAACTAAATCTAGATGCTAAGCTTTATGGTCTAATCTGATCTAATCCCATTGGCCCTGTAGCTCATAGGTTTTTGAATCTTCTTCTTCTTCTTCTTCTTCTTCTTCTTCTTCTTCTTCTTCTTCTTCTTCTTCTTCTTCTTCTTCTTCGTCTTCTTCTTCTTCTTCTTCTTCTTCTTCTTCTTCTTCTTCTTCTTCTTCTTATTCTTCTTCTTCTTCTTCTTCTTCTTCTTCTTCTTCTTCTTCTTCTTCCTTCTTCTTCTTCTTCTTCTTCTTCTTCTTCTTCTTCTTCTTCTTCTTCTTCTTCTTCTTCTTCTTCTTCTTCTCCTTCTCCTTCTCCTTCTCCTTCTCCTCCTCCTCCTCCTCCTCCTCCTCCTCCTCCTCCTCCTCCTCCTGAATCACTTAGATCATTTCCAAAAACTAAATCTACATGCTAAGCTTTATGGTCTAATCTGATCTAATCCCATTGGCCCTGCAGCTCATAGGCTTTTGAACGGGAGGACCCAACAATAATTAAATTTGGGGTGTGTGTGAACTGGCAGGCTTTCTCAAGTAACCCCCGGAGACCTGTTCTTCTTTTTATTTATTTGAAAGTCATCTTTGGACACAGCAGGAAGTGTAACGTCTGATTGCATTACAATTCCTGGATCCCCAAACCCCTGTGTAACTGAGGGTCACGTCGCTATAGACGCTAAATATGGAGTTCGTGTGTGTGAAAACCTCTTCAAAAGAGACACTCCTTCATGCTGTTGTGCATCTAGTTTCTCTCCTTTTTTGAAACTGTTTTGTTTGGGGGCCCTTCCAAAGTATCTATAGCTAGGTAGAGTCTGTTTAGATCACTCCGGCTAGCATTGTTGTGCTTGGATTAGAAAGTATGCGGATTATTTCAAACGCTCTGCCTGTAAGGAATGTCAGATTGTTGATCTGTCTCCCTATGAACTTAATACTCTTCGTTAGCTATGCTATGCCAGCTTTGGGCCAGGTTTCTGTACAAGCGTTCAGTTGTTTGGATGAGAAATTAACTTTGTGCAGAAAAAGAGGATGGTATGTCCTCTAAGAGCCGAGAGCCTTCTTCTCTGTTGGAAGAGTTCTTTCCTTAAAAATATATTCATAAAACAGGAAATGATAACAATTTCTCCTCAAGAGATTGAGGTCTCTCTAACAATGGGGATAGTAAATCTGGAATAGAGGAAAGAGGCGAGATTGAACCCGCAGCAGATGTGAGGAAATGCTCTCACAGGTTTGGGACTTAGTTTCCACAGTATAGCTAAACCATGGTTTGTGATGTAACCGGCTAAAAAGCAAAGCACACACAGCCACACAGGGACTTGGCAAATGGGTGAAGCCGAGCTTTGGTTTGTGTGCACGGGGGTTGAAGTCAAGGCTAGTTGCTTGGGGAGCGTTTGAGAAGAGATTAAAATCGGGTTCACCAAAGTTTAACCAAACCGCTTACCTTTAAATTATCCATCCCCAACGGTTGCTGTTTCCGCTGATTGGCCTTTGCAAGTTTGTTTGTTTGCTTGTTTATATTCCACCTGTATTATTTTAGAAATAACTCTAGGCAGCAAATGCACACGATACTCCTTCTCTTCCTCCTATTTGCTCCACAACAGCCCTTTGAGTTGAGAGAGGGAGGGACTGGCCCAAAGTCACCCAGACAGCTTTCATGTCTAAGGGGGAACTATAACTCACTCTCTCCTGGTGATTGACCCAAAGGCACTCAGGCCGCTTTTGTGACTAAGACAGGACTAGAGATCCCTGTCTCCTGTGATTGGCCAAAGTTACCCAACTGGTGTTCATGCCTGAGATGAGACTAGAACTCTCAAGTCTCCTGGTGCTTGGCCTAAAGCAGGGGTCCTCAACCTTGGCAACTTTAAGACTTGTGGACTTCAACTCCCAGCTTTGCTGGCTGAGGAATTCTGGGAGTTGAAGTCCACAAGTCTTAAAGTTGCCAAGGTTGCGGACACCTAGCCTAAAGTCACCCAGCTGGCTTTCATGTCCCAGGACTAGAACTCACGGTGTCCTGGCTTCTAACCTGGTGTCTTAACTACTAGACTACACCAGCTCTCACCATTAAGCAAAGGTTGTGCTACGAAGTTCAGCGTTTCCTGCCTGTTTAATAAAACCCCTTTATCTTGCAGTTACAGGGATCCGTGAAGAGGAAAGTAGAAGATGACGCTTCGCCAGCCTCCGGCGCCATGCCCGACATCCTCTTCCCCAGTGAGAGTAAACGACTTTGTCTTGAGGATGTCACTCTTTCCATGGGTCCTGGGACCAATTCTGTTTCATGCCCCGATATGCAAAGCTCTCCATTCTCGGCCAATCACGGGAGCTCCACCATGCCCGGACACGGAATGCTCCTGGAAAATAACCACATGAACGGGAGCGGGATTGGGTCTCCGTTTTCCGTCCCACCTAACGCTGAAGTTGGGCAGAAGGGGCCCCTCGGGAGCCATTATGGCGACAAAGGGAGCAACATGCATGCTGTGGACCAGGAACTGCAAGATTTGTTGGAAGAGTTGACCAAGATGCCGGACCCTTCCCCCAACGAGCTGGACCTTGAAAAGATCTTAGGGAGCAAACCTGAAGAGCCCATGGGCAACCTGGCCCACCCTCCCACAGCCATGAACAGCTCTTCCAAGTCTTCTCCGCAGGCCGCCCCCTTGGAGAACCATCTCCCCAACAAAGATTTTTCTCCTGGATGCAACCCAAGCGGTGGGTCCCCGCAGATGACGTCGTCTTCTGGAGCCAGCTACTCCGTTCCGTCTCAAAACAAGGCTGTTGCTTCGCCCATTTCTTCAACTACAGCCAGCAAGGGCCAGACTCAAGCCATGCATATGTCTGGGACCAATTGGCACGCCCAGCAATTGAAGCACTTAGCCAGCAAGCAAGCCCCAACGTCCAAGCCCCCGACGCCAAACTGGCCCACCCTATCTTCTCAAGGTCTTTCCCCTCCTTACCGGCAAGGGTCTTCTCCGCACCACCAGCCCTTCAGTCCTCAAAATGTCATGATCTCCAGCATGACTCCTAACGGCCTTCCGGGAAGCAATATTCAGAGTCCACAGAATCCTCTGCTGTCAAGCATCACGTCTAACAGCAATCCACCCGGAGGTCTGTCTCCTCCTTTCGGGCCAGAGAGACTCTCCAGTCCGGTCCTCAACCAGCAATCTTTCAGCCCTCCAAACTCCATCCTGCCCAACATTTCAGCCAACAGCATTAAAAGTTCCCCGAACCCTTTGGGGCCTCCGAATGCTGGACCTTCGCCCTACAGGCCAGAGAAGCTTTCTAGCCCAGCTTTGCACCAACCACCTTTTAGCCCTCAAAGTACCTTGATCCCCGCCCCCACCCCCACCAGCAACCCCCCCAACCTGCAGGGTTCCCTCTACAAAGCCATGCCCTCCGCCCAGTCCAAGAACATGAACGTCATCATGACGCAGTCTTCCAACAGCATTCAACCGGGGTTGGGGAGCGAAGGTCCCGTGGCCCAGGACCAGTTTTCCTTCAGCAATACCAAGCCCCTCTCCCATTTCAACTCAGAGACCCCCCCTGCCCAGAAGATGTCGCCGATGGCGTCCAACTCGGGGCAGCAGTCGCTCATGCATTATCTTCAGCAACAAGCTGCAACTTCTCCGCAGTCCCAACAAGTCAACAACAACCAGTTCCTTCAGCAGCAGCTGCGGCAGTTGATGCAGCCCTCACGGATGCAACAACGGCACGTCCAGCCGTCCCCGCTCTCCTCACAAGTGCGACAGGTAAGTCTGTACAGGGGTGGCTTATGTCCTTTGTCCACCTCCCAGAGTCCTTCCCCGTTACTCCTCTTTGCCGATCGCTTTGGTGAAGAAGGTTTACGTAGCCAAACCTTGCAGGTGTGCGTTGAAAGTTTGACTTTTTTGACCCTCCTTTTCCAGCTGGCAATTTTGCCTGCCTCCCTTTTAGAGTCCTCCTCGCCCCCACCCCTACTCATGATCTTCCCAGGTTAGCGGTGGCCTTTGGCAGGAAAAAGTTGAGCGTTCCTGATTTAAATCCAGGAAGCCCTCAACTTACAACCACAGTTACTGAGCCCGGAATTCCCCACTGCTAAGCAAGGCAGTCGTTAAGTGAGGTTCGCCCCCGTTTGATGAACTTTCTTGTCGCAGTTGGTCAAGGAAACACTGCACTGGTTCAGTCACACGGTTGTTAAACGAATCCAGCTTCTCCGTTGACTTTGCTCGTCCGACGGTCACAAAAGGGGATCACGCGACGCCCCGGGACACTGCGACCGTTATAAATATGAGCCAGTTGCCAAGTGTCTGAATTTTGATCACATGACCCCCTGGGCATGCTGCAACGGTCATAACTCACTTTTTTTTCAGTGCCGTTGTAACTTCCAGCGGTCACTAAAGGAATGATTGTAAGTCCGAGGACTACTTGTGTGTCTGTATTTTATTTATTTGTGAATAAATGAGATTCATCGGCCGCCCCAGTCTGACCCTATTCCGAGCAGCTTAAAATACAGATGTAAAATACTGGAAAAATCATAAAATCATCAGAAGGAGTAAGAAACTAGGAGTAAGAAATGAAAATTTAAGAACCAGATCAGCGTAGGAGAAGATTGCCAGCTCCTAACAAGGTCTATTTTAAAGGCTCATTTAACAGAGATCACAGCCAGGACCATATGAATCTCAGGGGGAAAAGCTGCTCCAGAAAGGGGCACCATGACAACAAAAATATGTGTGTGCAGCAATGCAACTTTTGGCAGAAGAGTAGCGACTTGCCTCTATTCTGAGGATCAGGTTACAATAGATTGAAGAGCTTACTAAAGCAGATTGTGGCTTGGTTGTTAGCTTTAAAGCCTTGGTTGAACTTCTCTGTGGCCATTTTGGATCTTAATTCTGAAATTGGTACAGTCTGTTGTTTGGACTGTCTGTCTGTGTCTCGGTGAAAACTCTTTGAGTAGGAGAAAAACATGATTATCTCTCCATTTGCCTGGGCTTACTCAGTAAACTGGCGTAGGTTGTATTTACCTAGAAGAAAGACTAAGTTACTGTCTCATCTTTGTTTGGGGAAAGTGGTTAGCACTTTTTTTTTTTTGAAAGGCTTTGAGCAAACTGTCTTTTCCAGCTTTGTCCAAATAAAATACAAATTCTTTTTATGGTTATAAGTTTTGCTTTGGAAGAGAGAGAAGGCACCTGGCCAATATCACCTGTTAAGAGTCGGAAGACAAAAGTCTAAAGTCAACAAGCACATCCTCTTGGTTACAAATTACTCCGACTATCCCAAAACTACATAGTACCTTAGCTTGACAAGCTTGGGATGGATGGATGGATGGATGGATGGATGGATGGGTGGGTGGGTGGGTGGAGGGAGGGAGGTCCTAGGAAAATATTCAGCCTGGGTTTCCATAAAGGGTGTAGGGTGCCAACCTACAGGGATCATTGTGCATCCGGAGATTAAAACCTGGCTGTTAGACCCTCAACAGGGTGGGCAACCGCTGCCCGGCGAGCTGCAGTTGCAGAAGCCAACTGAAGTAGGAAGGAACAGCTGCTGAGCTGTTTCTGCCCGATGCGGTGATCTTCTTTTCTGTAGGGAATCTGGTTACATGCTCAATAATAAAGCAAAGGCTTGCTGGAGGCAAGTTCACTCCGGGGACCAGGCTGGCAAGCAAATGATTAGCATGGAAAGCCCACTGCAGGGAAACAGTCTGTGAGAAAGACTAGAGTGTTGGGTGTCAGGCAGATGTCTGCATTGCAATCAATCAATCAATCAGAATAGAGCTGGAAGGGATCTTGGAGGTCTTCTACTCCAGCCCCCTGCTCAAGCAGGAGACCGTAGACCATTACGACCAGTTATTTAACAACTGGACCTGGATGCATTTGGCCGGCTGAAGAATTCTGGGAGTTGAAGTCCACAGGAATTAAAATTGCCAAGGGTGGACACCCCCTGCTGTAGAAAAAGGGCAAGTTCACAGGTGCTCAAGGCTGGAGGATTTATGGTGCCTTCCGCTGGGGGGTAAAAATTCCATTTATTTCCTTTTCACAATTTCCTCTATTTATGCCGGTGCGAAGAGCGCAGGAATGTTTTCTTAGAGCAATAAAAGTCTAAGTCTATTGTGATGATAAATACAAGAGGACTGAGGCTATTCGCATTTTTCAAATCAGTTCAGTAAACTTATTAATGCCTGGCTGGTTGGTTTTTTTTATTATTTATTTATTAGGGAAGACTTATAACGTTCATTATGTCAAAAATGACAGGCCTGCTCTGGATTTTATATCGTTGCTTAAGCCATCTCTAAATAACAAGCCAGTAAAGGATCAGGGCAATTCTTTTAAAGAGCTTTAATGACATTTATCACCAACAGTCATTTGCCTCGGCGGAAGGACCGACCACCTCGGCCACGAAAGGAATGTTTGGGTTCTGGCTGGTACCTGGACTTGTCTCTATAACCTGTCCTGTCAAGTGAGCACTCCTGTTTGGGAGCGACCGGTCGGTACGGTTGTGCCGACTCTGTTACAGCCCCTGCCCGAAAGGGCTGCCAGCGATGGTAAGGGGTGAACCGTCTTGTGGACCTCTTTGCCACATGGGAGATCACCTTTTGCTTCTGTTTATTTTCAACTAAGTACAGGGGCATTCCGAAAGCAAACTGTAGAGAGATAAGTAGATTATTGCCATTCTGGTGATCTTAACAAATTTTTCTTCCTATGGTTCTTCTTGGGAGGGAAGATTGGAAGGATCTGTTGATTAATTGCTTGGCTGGGGGGAATCAACTAATTATTCATGAACAACCTGCCTCCAGAAGTGGTGAATGCTCCAACAGGAAGAGAATGGACAGCCATTTGTTTGAAATGGAGTAGGGCAAGAGTCTTCAACCTTGGCCACTTTAAGACTTGTGGACTTCAGCTCCCAGAATTCCTCAGCCAGCTTTGCTGGAGTTGAAGTCCACATGTCTTAAAGTTGCCAAGATTGAGGACCCCTGGTGTAGGGTTTCCTGCTGAACAGGGAGTTGGACTAGATGACCTCCAAGGTCCCTTGCAACATCATCATCATCATCATTCATATGTTGATACAAGGTTTTACTAATTTTTAAGAAAAAGGAGAGGCCTCTTAAGGGAACGTCATAAAGAGCATCAAAACTATCTGATTTTGCTTAGTTTTCATAAAGTTAAGCAAAGTTGACTCTGGTTGTGATCTGGTTGAGCGATGAGCAGGAAAGCTCAACCGTTTTTCTTATCATTGGCAAGAAACCCTGTAGGGTTGTGTCCACAAAATGATTAAGAGTCAAGCTTGGGTTGAAAGGGGCTTTATCTGGCCCTTAATTACCCTGAAAATGCCTATGAATTCATTCAGTTAACTAGCAAGGGGTTTCTTTAAATGATGTATCGATGTCTTCATGGCTGGGTTTATTTAACTGCTGTCGTTTCACAAGTCTTTGAAACCGACCGAAGACATTTTGATCGACGTGATACCTTACGAAATGCATTGAGGCTTAGATGCTATGCTCTTTGGACACAAAGGCAGAATAGAAATAAAATGAATACTTTTTTACAATATGAGTAACTCTGGAGGTTCGAAAGCAATGGTGAAAATTCTGTAACGCATGGGACAATTTAGCAATTCAATTTAATGTTTTAAAATAAATTCTAATTTTTTGCCCTTCCCATTTCATTCTGTCCCTCCTCCTGCATCCTTTCTCTAATGATTCTATCCCGTCATTTCTTTGATATTAGCATAGCTCTTTTCCCGCTGTGAGTTGGCCGTAGCGAGTTGGCTGCGGTGAATTGTCCTAGACCCCAAATTATAGGCTATGGATATTAAACACCAGGAAAAATTTGCAGGTTTCTTATACGGATGCTGGACTGGATTTCTTGATCTTCAGGGATGTCCATAACTCAGAAATATCGGGATGAGGGCCTCAATGCTACAATTGAAGCTTGGCCTGGTGTATGCAACATACCTTGAAAACAATAACAGAAAGAGCTCCAATCCTAGTTTTGTAGCGTTCATCTTGATCTTCTTGACCATGCTTTGCAGATCCCTCTGATCTTCTTTGATGCCAAAATGTCACCCCAGCATTTTTGAGAAGATGCAGGATAGCTTGCTCCAACTAAAATGATCTCTTGCAAGGTCTTGAGGATGTTAGGGTCTTTGATGTGGCTGCTGGCATGAAAAGGGACTGATCTGAAGTAGCATAGGTGATTTGGAAATGCTTGGGTGGAGAGACATCCTTCATTCCAGAGGGTAAATCGCATTCTGACCCAAAAAACAAAAACCCAATAACAATCCTGAGGATGCTTTCAGTTCCCATTTACTGGGCCACTTCAGTGGATCAAAAATTCAACAGGGGAAAAGAATGACATAAAAGTGGGATATGATGAACAGAAAAATCAGGAGAAACATCCTTCACCAAAGCCTAAAATCCCTTGCAAGTTGAACCAGAGACTGTGAAAGTGAGTTTGCAGAAAAATTAGCAGAGTTGGAAGGCACCTTGGAGGTCTTCTAGTCCAGCCCCCTGCTCAAGTAGGAGATCCTATATCATTCCAGATGAATGGTTGTCCAAATTCTTCTTAGAACCTCTAGTAATGGAGCACCCACAACTTCTGGAGGCAAGCTGATCAATTGTTCTCACTTTGTCAGAGAATTTCTCCTTAGTTCTAGGTTGCTTCTCTCCTTGATTACTTCTCCTCCTACAAGTTCTCTAGGTTGGGCCTATTCCATGTGTTAGAATAACACGATGAGGCTCACCGGTGTACATTCTGGATCAGTGAAGTCACTCCAG